AGACCATGGATGTCAATTTCGCATCCACGATATCATTGCTGAAGCTTGGTGCGAATCTCAGTTTGTTGTATTCAAGAGCATATCCGCAGTTAAATTGGTTTTAGAGGGATGCAACTCCAATTTAATAACGTGATTGCTCTGTCTACGATAGTTGACTCTTTCCAGAATTGCATGACCAACCCCATGGAACCATTGGCGGTTCCAAAAACAAAAATGCCTTTTGTTTGTTGCTGTTTGTTGTTTGCTGCTCACGAGCAGCGCCCATATCGACCTGATCGGGTCTACATGATGCAAAATATCTGAACTATCGCACATGGTGTAGAAATTGCCAAAGGTGCGAAGGCGCACTCCAAGGCTCCTGGTGCGCTTGTCGTGTGTGTTGGCGAAGCGTACCTGGGCGGGATTGTCTGACTGAGAAGATTAACACAAATACAACTCCCCAAGCTTCAGCTCTGACTGGGCACGAACATAGGCAAGACGCCATTTTGAATTTTGTAAGCTTAGCGTCAAAGTGACGTGAAGCTCAGACCCCCCTTCCCGCCTTATTCGATATTCTATGCTAGGCTGATTCGGCAACATGAACTAATTATGTGACACACCTTCGATATGTTTTTTCAAAGAAAGCAGCCAAATTGCAGTGATTGTAAGAGGTTAAAAACTGTGCAGGCAAGGCCACGGTAGGCAACAGAAGCAGCCCCAAAAGTTTTGAATTGATCAATTCTATGGACTTTCTTAAGCATTGAATATTTTGGGGACATTTTGGAACAAGTCACGAGCTGGATGCCGCTGATCAGCGATGTTTTGTGCATCTTCCCACCTTGTTTTGATTTTAGGACAATTGAATGATCTCTTAGTGTCAAATGGCTGGACCCCTTACCCCCACCATGGCGTCACTTCGATGCTAAGCGTCCAAAATTCAAAATAGTGTCTTCCCTTATTGGCACACAGCGCACCTTGGCTTCCACCATCAAGAAATATTGCATATTCAAGCCAGGGGGATTCCATCAGCTGTCGCCATACCATCGCGGTTTCCGCGATTTGCAAAGTGAGAAGCCAAGACATTTCTGCAATCCAGCTTGCCGCTAAATTCTATTCATTGAAACTAATAAATTCATGACGTTCATGTCGGTCCACCTGGTGTCGCAGCCTTTGCGTGCTAATCTGCACTTCTCAACCAGGCAAAAGCGATGTGTTTGGTGATAATGAGGAGGCATTCAACATTTTTGCAACTGGTTTGTTGCCCAGAACCCCATGAAACATTGCTTGCGAGAGTTGGAGACGCTCTGCATGCAAAAGGACACAAGCTGCCCAATGGCAAAAGCACGACCCATAACACATACACAAAAATACCATTGCAGTCGCATAAGGTGGCACATCGAGTCCACGTTTCTTTCAGGGCATTAACAACGGTGGCGTTGTAACCAGAACTGGTCGAGTATTGTCAACGGCTGGACGCATAGGGGTGATGAGGCATTAAGAATTGCATTAAGAACATTGATGAATGGACTGTATACGAGGGAGAGAATTCCTGTTGTCCCATTGCTCCGCTGTAGACCGTTGCCGTGTACCCGAGCCTACGGTCCCCGGTCAGTGGTCGCCACCCCCGCGACCCTGCCTGCCTCCGTCAGTGAAGTGTGGTGGACTCTCGAATACGCATCGTACATGTGACCGTGTCCACACATACGGCGCGGGCCGACGCTTCTAGAAATGGCGCCCTGTACCTTCGCCGCACGCCAGCCAGTCCATTCTTTTCTCCTCTTGGCGGCCGCGCTCGCTGTCTACCGAGCGCCGACCGCCGACCGCCCTGCCACCGGCGGCGCCTCTTCCCCCGCCCGTGCTCTTTCATGCGCTTTGCTCTCGCCAAGGCGATCATGGGTGCGGTCGCATGGAAACAGGTGCGCTCCGATCCTGACCGGCGCACCGTTTTCTTCTCGCCGTGATTGCAACTCGGCGGCGGTGCATTGCGGCGCGCGTCTGTCGCGATTGGGACCCTGCACGACTTTAAGAGGCGTCCGCCGCAGTTTCCAGATTTCAATCCAGGAGTTTTGATCCGAGTGAGGCGGAATCCGGCGCAGCGCTTGCATCGACAATCACTGGAGCGTTCGACCGTGCGTGTTAGCGATCGGTTGGCTGAACGCGCGGTCGCATTGTCGCTAATAGGCGGGGCGAAATGGAGCGTGGGTGCCAAGTGGCGAACGCGTGCCCTGATGGTGGCGCTGTCGGGATGCGCGAATCGAAATGGTTCGGTGTGACTCTGGCCCGGGAGGTGCATGGATTGATCGCGCCATGGGCGTTACGTGCAGCGGCGGGAGGCGGCGCCGACGAGTGCGAACGGGCGCAGATGCTTACGGGAAAGATCACGAGCCCCGCTGCCAGAGAGGCTCCCTGGCGACTGCCTGGATGGTGGGCATCAGTCGAGGGGGCCTAGCGAAGGGACGAGCGCTGTCCCTGGTCCTGAGTTTCCTCGCGCCCCCCGCCGTTTGATATAGGAGCAAACGCACACATTCGATGTTTGTATGCCGGCCATCGCAAGGTGCAAGGGCCCGGCTTCGTGTTGTGAGGGCACGAATATAGACAATGGTGATACGGCAGACGTCTTGAACTGTCAGCGGGGTGTTTTGGTCGTCGAACGAACGCACCGTAGATATGGACGTCTGGGTCCGACGGCAATGGCGCTGGGCGCAGACTATGGACACTTTGGCGACTTGTTGGGAGCAACCCATGACCCTGGGGTTGGGTTTCCTGTGCGCTGGTCTTCGAGTGTTGAGGTCATCTCAGGCCGTAGTGCCTGTCTCTGTCCAGACTCGCTTGGTGGGTGGAGGCGTCCCCCATCCCAGAAACACAGTTAGCCGTGCAGTTTCATATCACCCTCACACTGTGGATCCTTTGATTGTGCCCTCACAAGCAATGTGAAGACAAAATTCCATAGTTGGTGAACTACCTCTGAACTTGGAGGATCAGGCACTATTGAAAAAGACAAAGAGAAAAGAAACAAAAGAAAGATGGCAGTCACTCACATGGTGGAGCAAGAGCTTGTTTGTGCATATGCTCAGTCTTTTTATGTTCCCCTACAGTAAACATGCAACAACGTAGCAACTTGTAACAGTCCACATGTTCATGCATTTGAGGGTGTTTGCTGCCTGTTATGCATGGTTGCTCGTTGTCCTCTGAGTGCCCTTTGCCTGTTCTGACTATCCCATATTTGTGGTGTACCTTGGTGCTGACTGTTGTTCATGCATGGCTGTCAGGCTGCTCGTCAGGTGGTTCGGGTGAGCACACCAGGCGTGCGCTATGCAGGTATGCCAACACTCCCCAGCACCTCCTGCATGTGTACACCTTTGTATGCAGTTCTGGAAATGGATAAAGTGATTCAGAGTACTTAGTCCTATCACACCTCTGGGTCTCTTTCTTGCCCCCTTTTCACCTTCCCTTCATTCTCGAAGTTGCCATGGTCGCACCCTTGCTGTGGTTGTCATCCCACTGAAGATTGTGTAGCCCACAAAGTGGCAACGACTTTAGCCAGATGTGCTCTGCTAAGTGCATCGAGTCAAAACAAGGCATATGTACAAGAACGACTGGCCAAGTAGCAGCTTCAACTTGAGGAAGAGCTGCCCACGCAGTTCTTTCAACACAGGACAACAATAGGGCAACTGGACTGCAGGAAACAATTGCAGAGACCAGGAATCGATTCGGCTTTTGTGTTGGACAGGAAGCCATGCGATGGACATCTTGTCCCACGAGCGCCTGCCGCGGATGGCCCCCATGAGGTGTGCAGCTCCTTTGGCAAAATTGATTGAAGTAGCATTGTTTGTTTAAATGATGGGCAAGCCATGCGCCTGAATCATGTTCATAAACACCTTGAAGGTAGAAAGGTACTGCCTGCCACATCGGGCCAGTAGCAGCTGAATGGATGGATCTGGCATTGGCAAAAGCACACCAGGCTGATGCATCGTGCCCCGGTGACAGGTGTGACTGGGTGCCCGTATTGGGGTGACCATAGGATGGTTGAGTCCAAACCAGGCATGTTGTGCCTGCCCCATTTGCATCCTTTGCCTGTTTTCCTTTTGTTTCTTATTGCACAAAATTTACAGCATATTAAAGAACAGCGCCTGTTGCTGTTGTCCCACAAGCTGGTGCACAGATTTGCCATTACTCGGCACACCCATCGACTGTTTCCAGTGTTTCTGCCCACTCAGGGGTGATAATTAGTTTCTCCAGGTCTCAACAGACGCTGGCCAACATCTCCAGAGGATTTCAGGCGTTTCCAATTCGAGAATGCGATTGCCAGAATGTGCTCTTGCTAATTGTTGCATTGGGGGTCATAGATCACTCAGTTGCCCCATTCCTTGTCCACTGGGTGATATGTGGCTTGAGGGATCCAGTGTGGACATCTGTATTTTTAGTCCAACAATGTTTATTACTGCTGTTGTTTTCAGATGACATAGAAATGCGCCACTATAGAGCATTTGTCTCCAACTAATACATATTGCCCAACCGCAAACACAGCTCGTTCATGCCCCAGCTTGGAGGTGTCTAAAACACAAGGGGGGGTTCGGAAACATGATGGCTTGCAACCTCCGCACTTCTGGAAATTTTCACCTGGTATTGACAGGTAGTGCTGCAAGTGCTCTCCCGAACCGTCAGCCAAATGGCTGTTAGGGGTAGATGTTGTCTGGCTACTGAATGTACATTTCTGTGTTCACTTGTTCACCTGATGCCTATGATACTTTTGAACTGTGGGCTCGTGGGAATGATGTACTGCAGAGAGTGTGATTAATATTGCCAGTTATTGCACTGTCATGACCTGATATTACGTTTGGCAAAAGTGAATGGGCAGTGTGGTGTTGAGAGTTTAGCATTTGGAGTGGGGAAGGGGATCGAGCAATTCGAATTGAGCATTCTGGCTGTCAAGGGAAATTGGACTAATGTTGTTGCTTCTGATTTGGAACTCCAGGGTATTCCCAGCAAGGCACTTGCATTGCGCCCCCCGTGGTCTCGTCATGGCTGCGGCTGCCCCGGCGGAAGTTGAGCAAGATACTAAGGGTGAAAAGTTTGCCTACCAAGCTGAGGTACTCACTTGCTGAAAGGTGCCGTTGTGCACCTTGCACTCATGACATGGAAGCCTTGTTTGTGTCTCCATACTGGTGTCAGTGTGTATCTGTCACACTTTGCAACTGTGTACTGCAACACACAATTGTTGGCGTTGTGCCAAAGCATTGTTCATGTTGCCTTTGCATGTGACTGCATTCTTGCAGGCTGAATATCAGGTGCCTTCATTTGTCAACATTCAGCCACTAAAGCAAAAATGGCGTATCGTCTGTGTTTCAACAGCTTGAGATAGAATTGGGGATGGTTGGTATGCTGTGGCCAGCTTAAACAGGTGCCAAGTCGCTTCTTTGCCGATTGTTGTGTCCAAGCATTTTGAATTGCTTTTTCAGCATATTCGCATGTTGCCTTCCAGGTGGATCGGCTTATGGACATGATCATCAACAGCTTGTACAGCAACCGCGAAGTCTTCCTACGAGAGCTCGTTAGCAACTGCTCTGATGCCCTGGACAAGGCACGTTTTATTGGCCTCACAAAGCCCGAGGTCCTTGCTGACAATGAGAAGTTGGAGATCCGTGTGCGGACGGATCCTGAGAACCACACAATCACTATCGAGTGAGTTCCCAACGATCGCTTGGAGTTTTTCATCGCATCTGTGCCAAACTCGCCCTGGACTGAGCGGTATCTGTTGGATGCGATATTCTGCTCTTGTTACTGTTGCCGAATTTTGACAGAATGTCGACCCGGGCATGTCGGTCTACTGCTCACATTCGATGTGCACAACTTGTGCACTTTCCAAGATGCCATCGAAAGCACAGAACAGTTTCCATTCCTGGCTAATTGCTGCCCGTTGCCATGCCCCATGTGCCCATGCGTCTGATCGCTCAACAATCTTTGTTGAACGCAAAGGGCACAGGGCGTTGCCTGTGGGCGCTTGCTCCTTCCTGCAGTTGCAATTTTATATTGAGGCAATTTGCGGCGCACAAGGTGTTGTAGCGGCATGCAGGCATCCCCCAAGACTGAACACACTGCGTCCTGAAAACCTCACCAAAGCTCAGGCCTCCTTTCTTTAAGGGTAACATGTTCCAATTTCAGCCACAAATGGGTTGCTGCTGGGAGCACAGGACACTTGACCATTGACATCCACATGCGCATTTTGAGCGTACGGCCAAGGAAGTCACATGCCTGGTGACCGTAAGGGCTGCTAGGAGCCCAGTAAGCAAGATTGCAATCGCTGCTTGTTGACGTGGCAACTGCAGGTTACAGGTCCTGCATGTTTGTAATCCTGTGCTTTCTGGCAATCGTCTCTTGCTGAACTCAAACTTCACACATATTTGTGGTGGTGGTGGTAGTGGTGGTTGTTGTGGTGGTGGTGGTGGTGTGCGCATGTGTTTGTGTGAGTGGTTTTGTTGTTCCTGGACTTAACAGTAGATTTGAGGCTTTTGAGCGTGGTGTACCCATGCTGTGCATGTTGTTCGTTTCATTGCACAGTTATCCTGCAAGCATTTCACAACCCCTCAGGGCAGCTCCAACTGCTAGCTCAGATGTGGGTGCGTGGACTTGCATATTTCAGGCCATGACCAGATGGCTTGTTCGCCATCACTGCCAACTCTGCCCTCTACAGCTGCCCTGGCTTCTGGTGAAGGGCTAACTATTACATAGGCAAAGGCATGGTATCGGTGCTGCTGACTGTGTAGCTCAGCATTTAATTGATGAATGGGGTTGAGCAAATGAGAAAGAATCAATTCCTCAAAATCAGCTTTTTGGTGCTTTCAGCTGACTGTGTTCTGCTCTTGTTAGGGACACAGGCATTGGCATGACCCGTGATGACCTGCTGAACCAGCTAGGGACCATTGCGAGGTCGGGCACCAGAAAGTTCATGGAGGCTGTCAAGGAATCAAAGGGTGATGCTAACCTCATTGGTCAGGTAACCCACCCATGACAACCTCATAAGCTGTTTTACGCACACATTTAGACCTGGGATGTCTTGTGAAGGCTTCACATAGACTTCCACTTGCTTTCTGGGTGGTGCAAGGCCCACATATCCTTTTTTAGTGTGGCGCTGGCACCTGGTCTCTGAAAAAGGGAGCGGTGGTGTATTACAACCAGGTCCAAGTGCATTTTGTCTGTTGTGTGTGTTGATCTTGAAGTAGCAGAATTCAAGCTGCATGGAATCAAATCCCTTCTGCTGCAGCTCTCCTTGTCATTGCATTAACCCAAATCAGCAGTTCGCTTTGGCATGACATACAGAGGGATGGCAAGAGTGTCAGCTATGAACCACTACTGTTATTCCATGACGCAAGCATTGTGGTAGGATGAAACGTGAGAAACACCCCCCTGAACTTCAGAGCTGTTTTCATTTCAAACCCCCATTCTACCCTGCTACCCAGAGAGGTGAACATTAGTGTGGTTTGTGCTGCTTGCAGTTTGGTGTGGGTTTCTACTCGTCCTTCCTGGTGGCAGACAGGGTGAAGGTTCAAACCAAGCACCCAGAAGATGACAAGCAGTGGGTGTGGGAGTCCAGAGCAGGAAGCCACGAGTTCAGCATATATGAGGACAGTGAGCCCTCTCTTGTCAGGGGCACAAGGTGCGCTTGTGGCTCAGCACAGGACTGTTGAAAGACAAACTCTCACCCACTGTTTGCACTGCATGTGGTTGTCACAAGTTGTCACAGGGAAAAACAACTTCAAGGCAAGCAATCTGCGAGTTTAGTAGGTTCTATGTCACGGAATGTTGTGTTGCTGCATTTTGCAACATGAACACTGAGTACTTGCCACAGTCAGTGGCATGCCAAAGTGTGTTTTTACAGTAACTGCAGATTGTCTGGGCATTCATGTTTGTATATCACGTTCAGGACTTACCAGGTTTCGTACTCACAAATCCCATCATGGCATGATTTCTCTATCTTTGATGGTGGCATCCATGTTGACCTCTGAGCGCACACCAGTATACACTTAATCTGACGGTGAAGTGAGCCGTGCCACCAGTGTGAACCCAAGGAGACCAATTCGGCTGGGCCATGATGCATGAATAACTTGTCAAGGGTGTGGGATCATCTGTTGCGTGCAACAAAACTCTTTCTGGTAAAGAAAGTGACGTTCGTTTCCTGTGTGAAGGATCACACTGTTTTTGAAGGAGGATTCCCATGAACTCGGAGACGCTTTCAAGTTGAAGAGCCTCCTGAAGCAGTACTCAGAGTTTATATCATTCCCCATCAATTTGTATGCATCCAAGCGTGAGCCTAAGCAGGTCACGGACGAGGAGGCCACAAAAAAGAAGCAAGAGGAAGAAGACACAAAGGCCAAGGAAGAGAACAGGGAGGCCAAAAAGGTGTGCATGCCGAATTGATCTTTGGTCACATAGGTCAGTTTTCACCACACATTGGCAATTCACCGAGAAACCGATGTACGGCAGTTGTGTTCAACACTGACAGCCGCTGCCATTGTCGTTTTTATCAAAGTCTCACTGCAAACAATGTTACTGGAACTGGTGCTCTGGTGCTGCAACTGCATCAATCGTGTTGGATGACAGGCGATTTTCATCGCATGAATCCCCAAGTTCATCTTTGAATCGAGCAGGCTGGGCCACGTCATTGTGGACAACTGGGGTTAACTGGTGTTGCGGGCTTGTGTTCAAGATCGAGGATGTCACAAAAACAGAGTACGAAGAAGTGTGGGACTGGGAGGTTCAGAATGACAACAAGCCCATCTGGAGTAGGAATCCCAAAGAAGTCACCAAGGAGCAGTATGACAGCTTCTACAAGACTACTTTTTCGGAGTTCTTGGAGCCATTGGCACACTCACACTTCAATGTGGAGGGCACCATCGAGTTCAGCTCTCTCCTCTTTGTCCCCGGAATGGCGCCCTTTGAGCAGGTGGGCAGGGCTTTTGAGCTCTAAACTGATGCCCACCCTCTTGTGGCATTGTTTGAAAGTTGACAGTGTGTGAAGGATGGGTAAAAATCAGTGTGTACAAGGAGCCTGTGGAGTAGCATATCTTGTCGATTTTGTGGACTGTGCCTCTGCAGATCTAGATGAACTTTACTTAAGTTATTTGGACAGTATGAAATTCCACATCAGTCGTGGCAGGTCCGTATCGATTACTGTTCTGAATCTGTGACAAGTCGCTACCTTTGCACCTGATGGCCGATGTGAGGCTGAAACAACTGGCAGGCTTTGGAATGGGTAAGGGCATGGATGGGGACTGGCAGAAGGCAATTGTGCAAATGCCTCATTTTGGGGGGGCACAACAAACACCGGCACAAGCGAATTAGTGCAGTATGCTTACAGTCCCAGACTGTGGATGTGGGGGGTAGGTCGGGGCCATAGCAGGTTGTTGCAGGAATTCTCATCATCAGGCTACTCTGGACATGGACCGTTCACTGCTGTTGAATTCATTTGCATTCTTAGAGGCATTCTGAGACCAAGCAGTGAGCCATGGTTATGGGGAAGCCCAACTACATTACGGCTGAATGCAAGTGGCAGAATGATGCTTGGAATTTTGCCCAACAACAGCCAACTTGTCAGGCAGCTGTCAACATATGCTTATATACTGTCGATCGATGAAGAAGGCAAAGTGTATTGTGACAAGGGTGGTGCAACCACAATGTGGTGTGTGTGCTATCTATGCCATGGGTGCTGTCGATTCCCCCTCCCCTTTGCTTGCCATGGATTCAATTGTCTTGTCGATTTATGCTGTGCGGTTGGCAAAGTGTTGAATACAGCTGATTGTACAGCAAAAATCCTTTATTCTTTACAGAGTCGTTGTTGACGATTGGCCACCTGGCTGCAGGACATGATGAAGCGTTCGAAGAACATCCGCTTGTTTGTGAAACGGGTGTTCATCAGTGACGAATTTGATGACGACCTTCTCCCTCGCTACCTCAACTTCATCAAGGGTGTTGTGGACTCTTCAGACCTGCCGCTTAACGTGTCGAGAGAGATTCTCCAGGTGAAATCCTGAGTTACGGGCTGTGACACTGATCCTCACATATCACATTTACCAAAGCGCCACAAAACACTGCCTTCCCACAATGAGGGCGTTGTGGACACCTGTGAACATTCTGAGACGGCTTGGGAGCTTTGTAACCTCAAAATTTTGTCCCAAGTGCTGTCTCCATAGACTCCAGTAGGTGTCCATTGCAAGAATCTTCTTTTAGTTGATGGAAGATGATGTTGTACAGAAGGATCGTCTTCATCATTGACCCCTATTGTACTCCCAGCCCATTTTTCAACCATGTGGAATGGGAAACCCTCTAAGCAGAGGGTTTGATATGCTTTGCCATGCAGTTCAAGATTACTAACAAGTCTACATTGTACCTTTCCTTCAACACCTGCTGTTGCTGCGATCTTGCTGTCCAGATGGAGCAACATTCCCTGCATGGCAAGTGTTTAATGTTGCGGTGCCCTGTATCAGCCCGTTGGAGCAAGTTGACATCGATGTATGTCCTGTGGGTACATTGAAATACACAGGCTGCTTTGGATCGCCAAGGGCGTCACCACTATGTGAGGGCACACAGTATGTCGTTGGTGGTGTCCTAGGGAGACCCAAGGGTCTAGACAGGTTTGTTGCGAAATACTGTCTTTGGGACTCGTTTAGAACTGTTAAGAGCTACAAACAGGACCTGCATGGGACCACAGGGTACCTCTTCCAGTCAATGGATATGGGACCATTTTCCTGCCATATGGCATGTGATGCAGCAGTCACAGATAAACAAAATGGCACATAACACTTGGGCCTTGAGACCTGTGGTCAGGGAAGGCCTGCAGTCGCCGTCAACAGGTGAAGTGCGGGAAAGTGACTTCCATCGAGCATTCAATTGAGAAACTTGCACATGGACTGTGCGCCTGTCTATGTTGACGTCATGGGGTACACTTAAGAAGTTCAAGCTTACAACGCACACCTCCCCAGCACAAGCTGAAAGAAGGTGTCCAGGTTGTGAGAACCCTCACTGCTGATGCTCCAGGAGAACAAGATCGTCCGAGTAATCCGCAAGCAGCTTGTTCGTCGGTCGCTAGATATGATCGAGGAGATATCCAAGCGCGAGGAATCAAAAGACGATTACAAGACATTCTGGGATGCTTTTGGGCGGAACCTGAAGCTGGGGATCATCGAGGACACAGCCAATCGTGACAAACTGGCTTCGTTGCTGCGTTTCCACAGCTCAAACAGCGAAGATCTGACGACGAGCCTCGATGACTACGTTGGCCGCATGAAGAAGGAGCAAAAGGTGGGATCCGCAGAGTGAGCTGGACAAAGGGGTGATCAGCATCCACCCAGTTTTGTTGATCTTGTGATGTGCACATTGTCCCAAAGACGAAGTGGCCCCATGGTTGTTATCCCAGAGCTGCTGCTGTGAGACGTGGACTGGGCTTCTTCATCAGCCCACGTCGGTTCGCTATGGCACTGAGCCATTTCCCCACATGTCTAAGATTGACCCTGTGCTGTGTGTCATTGAAGGCTATCTACTACATGGCAACAGATTCTGTCAAGGCGGCAAAGGCTGCCCCCTTTGTTGAGCAGCTGGCGAAGCAAGGCTTTGAGGTACTGTACCTGACAGAGCCCATCGATGAGGTGGCCGTCACCAACATCGGGAAGTACAAGGAGCATCCCCTGGAGGACGTTTCAAAGGAGAACCTGGATGTCAGTGGGGATGGCAAGGCAGAGGCCAAGGAGGAGACAGAGGCCAAGTTCAAGGGCCTCACGGACTTCATGAAGGAGGCTCTTGGCGACCAGGTGGGTTGGAAGTGAAGAGAAGTGCTCAACCTGTGTACCACATTAAACTGGAGTAATTGGAGGCCGCCAGCTGTGCTGATCAGGGGCTACATTTGCAGCAAGTGTGCTCGAATACCATAGTTTATTCAACCCTTCCGCGTTTTGAAATTTCAGCATTACTATTTTTGCTCCGCATTTTTGACAGGCTGTTATTTGGGGCTCGGCATCATGGTCACAGCCGGAATGGCGACTCAGTTCGAATGGCCTCAAAATGCCAGTTTTCTGCCACAGCGACTTATTCATCTGTGGCTGACACCATGAGCAGTCTAGAGATTGCTGCACTGCAGCTGGGGCTGCTCCACATTTCTTGGCACCGTTACGTTTTTATTATTGCTCCATGCAAAAAGGCCACGTCACTGTGCGGAAGGGTATAGTGCAGTAGATTTGAAATTCGCATCTTGTGCAATGTCTTGATTTATTGATTTGAGCCACAGGTTGAGAAGGTCACTGTGTCCACGCGCCTGACTGACTCACCCTGCATCGTGGTGACCTCCAAATTCGGCTGGAGCGCCAACATGGAGCGCATCATGAAGAACCAGACCATGGCGGATTCCCGGGCCATGGAGTACATGAAGGGCCGGAAGATCATGGAGATCAACCCAGATCACGAGCTGATCAAGGCGCTCAATTCTGAGGTCGAGGCAGGCAGGAAGGACAGGGCGGGCGAGTTGGCGGCTGTGCTCTTTGAAACAGCCCTGCTGACCTCTGGCTTTTCTGTAGATTCACCGTCCGACTATGCGGCCAAGGTGTACCGCATGATGTCTGGGGCTGTGGGAGGCAGCTCCAGCACCACGGGTGACGGGAAAAAGGAAGAAAAGGCAGGAGAAGATGGGACTGTCGAGACGGTCACACCTGAGGTGGTAACGGACGAGGACCCATGGAAGAAATGATTGTGTCATCGTGCACACCTGATGACTGGCGTTCCAACCATCTTGGCGTCTGGAGGACGCTGATGAGGAACGTGGTTTTGAGCTGAGCAGGATGAAACGAGGCCGATGGGGGGGGTTGGTGGGCGGGTGGGGGACGTTTTTACGGGGATTTCGTTGGAAGCTGGACCACCTGCGGTTGCGCATGTCATTCGTTGATTCACATCCTATGACATCGTAGAGCGCGCAGGAGCAGGGGGCTTCTTTGCTTGGAAATGAACCCAAGGTTTTCAAAGAGATAAATGTAAAGAAGCCGCACTGTAAGCTCCAGGCGCCCTTCTTGCACCCACATACTCGATGGCGAGTGTGTGGCAGTCTCGATCCCGACGTGGGTGGTCCCCACCATATTGCAAGTTTAAACCGCAGCACGTGCTGCTGGCAACACAATGGACGGCCATATGTTGGTATCTGGTTTTCTTCGAATCCTTTGGCGCATTGGTTGCTGCACATACATCTGGGAAATCTCCAAACCAACGACGTCTCTTGTGAGTTTTACTTGTGCGGTTTACGAGTTGCCAGTCATCTCTGATGCAACGAAATCTTGGCAGCGTTCAGGACGGTGACACGTTGATGGACAGTGCAGCAGGAGTTGTTACAAAGGATCTCCGGCCCCAGCTTTCTTGAATCCCCGAGCACCGCAGCATGCAAACAGTGGTGGAAAAGCAGGAAAATTGCGAAAGGCACCTGAGAAGGGCACAGCACCTAGCGCCAGTGAGACTCCGCGACCAACGCGCACTGTGCATGCTGCGCGTCACTTGGGTGTTTTTCACACACTTCCACCACCGATGGTCTTCTGGTCAAGCGTCGGTCAAATCTTTTGGGCAACACACACGCGCAACGCTTTGCGGGCATGAGGGTCTTTGGAAGAACAGATGTATCGCGGCCACAGACAGCAAAATTGTCGATTGTTCTGTAGCAAATTCAACGCCAAGTGAATGAGAATTTCTCCAAGAATTTGCCAACAGATCCATTGGCGGGACCCCCATTGGCGACCCCAGCAGACAGAGCCGTCTCTTGTGCAGTCAGTTGAGCGCAAATGAACAGGGATTTATCCTGGCAATTGCCGACAGATCCACCGCGCACCGCAACAGATACACAAGCCGATTCGTGGGCCCTGGACGGGGGCTGCCTCCGGCGTCCACCGCCCCTCCTCCCGGTCTCCAAAGCGATCGATCCGTCCTCGAGCACAACCAGGGCCGGGCCGCCCACAGGCGCACGCGCGATCAGCGCCTTCGGCCAGTCGAGATCCGGCCATTGGGGATCGCGATCAATGAGGCACCCGCGGTGCGACCGGCACACCTTGGCGGCGTCGATCTCGCTGATTGCCGGCGGCGCGCTGGGCATATGGCTGCTGCGCAGCGGGCGCCTGAGGCTGAGCACCGCCTACCCCTACGTTAAATGTCGCTGGACATCCGTGGCGCGAGTGGGCGTGCCGCCTACCCCCGCGCTGGGCGCGCCAAAGGGGGGGCTCACGGTGATGCCTCCGGAGTACCCGAGGGCAGAGAGGGATGATGCAATTGTGGAGGACCTGCACGGCGTGGAGGTGGCGGACCCCTACCGCTGGCTGGAGGATCCGGATTCAGAGGCGACCAGGGCCTTCGTGGCAGCGCAGAACAGGCTGACCCAGTCAGTGTTCGCCAAATGCGACAGCCGGCAGAAGTTCGGCGACCTGTTCAAGAAGATGTACAACTACCCCAAGTACGGGTGCCCGTTCATCGAGGGCGACAGGGTGTATCACTTCTACAACACGGGCATGCAGAACCATCACGTGCTGCACACGCAGGAGGCGGCCCGGCTGCACACGGACGACTCCAGCGTCAAGGTGTTCTTGGACCCGAACACCTGGAGCTCGGATGGCAGCGTGTCGCTCAGCAGGCAGAGCTTCAGCGAGGACGGCAGCCTGGTGGCGTACAGCATCAGCTCCGGCGGGTCGGACTGGCAGACGATCAAGGTGGCGGAGGTGGGACCCGACGGCGATGCCATAGAGCTGGATGACAAGCTGCAGTTTGTGAAGTTCAGCTCCATGTGGTGGACCCATGACAACAAGGGGTTCTTCTACTGCAGGTATCCCGAGCCCGAGCACCAGGGGAAGTTGGATCTGGGCCAAGAAACTGAGGGATCAAGGAACCAGATGCTTGCCTATCATGCCATCGGAACCCCGCAGAGTGACGACTCGATCGTCTATGCCATGCCCGACCAACCACTGTGGATGCTGTCTTCGGAGGTGACAGAAGATGGCAAGTACCTATTGATCTACCCCAGCCTGGGAACACACCCTGGGAACAAGGTGTACTACACTGATCTGGATGTGCTCCCACGGGGGCCCAAGGGGGCCATCGACTTCTCAGATTACGACTTCCACAGGGGGACCAAGAAGCTGCCCATTGTGAAGCTTGTTGACACAATCGATGGCTCCTTCGACTATATCACCAACACAGGCACGGTATTCACATTCCACACCAACTACCAAGCACCCAGGTATCGTGTGGTCCGCACGGATTTCAAATCGCCCGGGCATCCCAAATCGTGGCAGAATGTCATCCCTGAGCATGGGAAGGACGTTCTAGAGTGGGCCGCTGCAGTCAAGGGTGACAACATGGTGGTGTGCTACCTCAAGGACTGTTCCAACATTCTGGAGCTGCGTAGCATCGAGACGGGGGCTGTCAAGATGCCAGTCAAGCTCCCAGGCATTGGGTCGATCAGCTCCTTCTCTGGGGACAGGAAGCTGACCCAGGTGTTCTTCTCTTTCAACTCATTCATCGAAGCCTCTTCCATATACCACTTCGACGTCAACACGTCCAAGGTGGAGGTGAAGCTCTTCAGGAGACCGTTCATCTCTGGATATGAGCCGAACGATTTTGTGACGAAGCAGGTCATGGTCACGAGCAAGGATGGCACTGAGGTGCCTTGCTTCATGACACACAAGAAGGGATTGAAAATGGACGGGAACAACCCAACGCTGCTGTATGGGTATGGCGGGTTTAATGTTAGCATATTGCCAACGTTCTCAGTCAGCCGGCTGTGCTTCATGTTGGCGTACAACGGCGTTTCTGCAGTTGCCAACCTGCGAGGCGGTGGGGAGTACGGCATAGCCTGGAGGGATGCTGGGTCAAGAGAGAACAAGCAGAACGTCTTTGACGATTTCCAGGCCTGTGCCGAGTACCTCATCGCAGAGAAGTACACATGTCCAGCGAAACTGGCCATCAGAGGTGGCTCCAATGGTGGTTTGTTGGTTGCGGCCTGTGCAAACCAACGGCCAGACTTGTACGGGTGCGTGTTGGCACAAGTTGGTGTCATGGACATGCTGCGTTTCCACCTCTTCACCATCGGATCTGCATGGATCCCTGATTTTGGGGACCCTAACAACCCGCGCCACTTTGAATATTTGTTTGCCTACTCCCCACTACACAATGTGCAGATTCCCCAAGGCGGAACACAGCAGTATCCTTCCATGCTGCTAACTACAGGAGACCATGACGATCGGGTATCGCCCCTCCACACACACAAATTGTTGGCCACCCTCCAGTATGTGTTGGCTGCTGACGCCAGCAGTGCACAGAGAAATCCGCTCCTTGCAAGGATCGAAGTCAAGGTGGGCCATGGAGCAGGGATGGCGACTGACAAAGTCATCGAAGAGGAGACAGATATTGTTGGATTCATGGCAGCTGCTCTGCAGGCAAAATGGGCTTTGTAGCAGCGCTGGTCCATTGGGATGGCTGGAGGAAGATATGCAACTGAACTCAAGCCAAGGGACGAGATACTCCCGCAGACGTAGTGGCTATTAGTTCATCTCTCGGAGGTGACTTCTTGGTGCCAGTGGAGGGAGTGCGTGGGGAATTCAGCTGTGTCTGGTGAACTGGATGGGCATCATCTTTGTGGATCACATGGATCAGTGGATTCTACATCCTTGCGTAAGAGGGCGCTGGCTGATAAGTGAAGCACGTCACTATTGGCTGCACAGCTGGGGTGGAGCAGTGGTTTGGGCAAATCTGCCTTGTGCTGGGACAGTTTGCTAGATTGTAGGTACAGTGCTGAGCCAACTCTGCTGCCACTGCTTATATCAGTGGCATTGCAGCAGTAACACAATGGCATTTTGTCTGAGACCTGGTATGGAGAAAATGCCAAATGAAAATGCGCCTTGGAACACTCAATTGTAGAGAATTCGCCAGTGCATGATGAGATGACCAGGCTCAGTGTCGTTGATTGAGTATCACCTATTCTAGAACTAGGCACATTTCGATCCAGTGCTGATGCATGCTTACAGGCGAATGGTTGGATTCAACAATGTCTTCATTACAACAACTCCTGCCCATTTGAATGTTGAACATACTGTGTTCCATAAACTGCTGGAGCTAGTGTTCAATGAGTGTTCGGGGCACCACTAAATGGAGCCAATCTAAACAAATGGATGGCTGCCATGCCACATGAAATATTATGCGAACACTACCAAGCTGGTGCCCCGTGAGGCCCAAGATTCCAGGCCGGCATGGCCTCGGTCGATAGTTCGCAAACAGACTGGAGGCATACCCCTCAAGCAACTCGTCAAGAGGCCACATGGAACCCACAAAGGCCATCAGGGCCCAGACATATGCGAACAGGGGGAGAACTGCCATGTAATCCCCCCCAGCTATTCACCTACTGTGCGGGAAGCACTTAGGAAGCACCATGGCATGTGTGGCCCACACCCGACACCAGCCACCCGCCTGCCCACTAACTGGCGGAAATGTTGTGCAAGTGCACTGTGACCAACCTGAATGAACCGGGGGCACCTGCCGAAAGGCCCTACATTGAGAAACTGGAGCAATGCTCGTTGATCGGGTAGTTCAGCCCATGGCAAGCCATGGTGATAGAACTTGTGCGGATGGGGCGCCTGCCCTCTTTGAGCTGTGGACCCGCCTCGCCAGGCACCTAGGGTCATATGGGAGCCCAGGTGGGACCAACTTGAACACATTTTCAGGACAATTTAGCACAACCAAGTACTGCAAAGTACTAAACCTTATACCACTTTTCACAGAAACAGATTTCCTAGCCTATTCCCATATATACGTTTGAATGCGAAGGCCCACCATAATCGTCAAAAATGACTTAGTGGCCTCACTTGGTCTTTTTGAGTGGTGTTTCAATACTTATGAGTCCAGTATCCCATTCAGAATATGGTAGAACAACTTTAAATGCACAAACACAGCAATGCTTTCACAGCACTGCCTACAAATACGTTCTTCACCACTTTCCCATGGTCGCCTTCATGGCGGGACACCTCGGAGCACTTTCTCAGTGTTGTGCCTCACTCGCTGTCCTCACAGCACATCGAACATTGCGAGCTGATGGTCGACAGGCTCACAACTGTGTGCTCAAGCCCGTCAATGCTTGCACAGCACAGCGGGTAAAACAACACATTAAAGCTCCACACGACGTGCCTTCTCAGCGTGTCAGTGAGCCCATATGCAAGTTTACAGCCAGACACACACCTTCTCGGCATTTCGCACAAGTCTACAACACGTGAAAATGTGTAGTTTCATGTCCAACCAGGCCTGCCGAGTTGGCAGTGCTGACCCACGGTACTGTCGACACTAACGCAGCTGGTTCGAGAAAACGGGTGCGCCTCGCACGACACCCTGCAGTGGCTTTGGCGCTTTTCTGATGCAGAACCGTCATGTTTACATGGCCAACACAATCGCAAAACAAGCCACCACTCCTCGCAGAGCTACACGAACACGTTCAACGGGTGGAAATGTAAACAGCACTCCCGTTTGGGAGTTGGAGCAAGACCTTGTCAGTGTAAACGACAAGCATGCAAGACAAGGGGTGCCAAAGGCTTGCCCCTTGTAGCACCGACCATGACACAGGCTGTGCACACATTCAAAGATGGGCACACCTTTCGGGTACCCAAGGAGATAGGGAAACCTTGCCAAAAACGGCCCAACGCCTATTTATACTTGAATTTCCAAAGCCACAACAGCGTTCTCGACGCCCAAACACAAGCAAACGGCAAGAACATGCCTTCCCCTGTATCGCCAGCTCAAATATGCAAACGGGGAGGCCAAGAGAATTTGGAGATACCTGTCAAATCACCAGAATATTCCATGTCAAAAACCCACAACCACTAATAGCTCAAAACACCATGTTGTGGGCCTTGCTATGCCGCACAATGGTCACCAATGCCGCCCACGACCACCCCAACAATTCCCTTGCCAAATGTTCACTTTATTACAATGTAAGGCACACATAAGGCATATGTAAAGTCCAGTCAGTGGCCTGCATCCCCACGCCAATCCAAACATCTATCCTATCAATTTAATTAATGTAAAGTGTCCCAAAATACACCGCAACCACCCAAAACCCGTTGAAATCAGTCATGCACAATCAAAATGCATAAAATGCCTTGCAAACCCAAACCAAAATACCCCCCATTTGTATTCACATAGCTTAGAAAAAGCATGCCTCTTTCTTTTTATCTCTTTTTCACGTTTAACTGCTCTTACTAACATTTAATGCTCACTCATGAACCACCCATATCTATCTTGTCATCGTCATCAATGAGCCCAAGGTGGGCTGGAAGAGGTGCCTTGGAAGCTTCCTCAATCATCAGCTTCTCCACCCTTTCTTTAACCTCCGCCACCCTTCCCTCGTCGTCTTATTGCTTTTGCTTCCCTTGGAACTCTATAACATACTATATCCACCATTATGGCACCAACAATGTAGTAGTGTATTTCTTTGAGCACCCTTTGGCACTTGCAACCATTTCCAACGGCAAGTGTGATACAGTGTGATTATTTTAGATGATATATGATGTATTTGATTACCAAAAGGGACTTTTGAGTGGTCAAAGAATGAACATGTGGTGCTACAGCGCTGAATGCGCCAATTCTACGCGGCCTCGATGCCGCCGGTCCTCGGCTCTCACGGCACCCGGTGGGGAGACGCACGGCGCGTCGATCCTCCTCTCGCCCGGCCCGGAATGTGCGGGTCGGGTGGCGCTCTATCGGGGTGCTCGCTGGCTCACTCCGCGTCGGTGGGCCCAGGGACGCAGGTCGCGTCGGGCGGATGCAGCTGTACAGCGGGCGGATGCAACAAGGTTGGCGTACCGCGGGGTACGCCTCGCATGGGCACGACTGAAGATCAGTCACCAAAAGAAACGAATATTACAAAGGGCAAACAGCTGCCCTTTTTATACTGCGTCAAGCGTCCAGAAACTTCCTGGAGGCCATGCAACCCAAACGGGGCATGACTCAGCCCCAGGTGCTCCCCTTCGTATCGGAGCCAAGGGGGACCGCCCCCAATGTATCCAATAATATTATAAAAGGTCTCCCACAGTACTATAAGGGGACAAAGGCTTCCAATTAAGGAGGGAAGTTCAGCACTAGGGACTTTCCCTTAGAAACCTTGGGGCCCAAGTGCCCAAGCGTCCCAGAATCGCTATTGACCTCAATAATGGTCTTTCACTTCCTGTAATGAGGAAATTAAGCGGGAAATGATTACCCCCTTAGATTTCCTTAACATGTGGTTATTGGACAATGGAACAATTTATTTCGTTATTGCATAGTTGTATCTTGTATTCAATAAACGACCACTCAAGAGTTGATTGACTCCTGCTTCTTCTTGTCTCACACGTGGGGGTTTGCTGGCCTCCTGTATCGAAGTGCATATGAAAATACTGTTGATGAACTTGTGATCCTTTTGGAGCGTTATTTAGAGTTTGATGGTTCCAATGCGCCTTTAAACACCCAATTCTGTTAAGAAACGGCGAAGTTATGGCCTCCCGAAGTTGTAGTACTAAGGGGCAGGGGGTCGGGTGTTAGACGCTTGGAATTAGAGGACAATTGGTCGATCGTAGGTGAACGGTGGATTGTGACATTGTGTCTGGACGTGCACTCGTGTTGTCTTGTTTTGATGTGATAGCGATGGACCTGCGAACAGGCATTGCGCATACAGATTTGTGCACGCGCATGCATTGAATCGTGTAACACTATTCTGGCCCACTCTCTAGCCTCCCGCGAGCCAGCAAACTGCCACAGGCTGCACCGCCATCTCTCACCGATAGCAGGCCCCGGGGATCGATCCCCGTCAAGCATTGGGCCCATCGCGCGACAACGGAATCGACTGCCCCGAATACGCCCACCGTCCGGGGTGGAGAGGCCGCCTGACCTCCAACAGCCGTGCTGCAGGGCAGGGCGACCCCGATGACTCCGGAAACCAGCAGCTGCCGATGGGGCCACAATATTTATTGCTTCCCTTTGGCCTTGTGTCTTCCAGCCTCTTAGTTGCCCAAGACACTTCTCCTGTCACATGCACTAGGTGATTGTGAGCGAGCGAAGCGAGCGAAGCTTTATAGAGCAAAATTGCGATTTTGGCCAATTGCACGCCACCGACCGCGCGCCGCCGGCCGCACGCTGCGCACGCACCGCCCCCTCCCCGGGCTTCCTGGCGCCATGCGCTGTGCACGGGTGGCACGCGGCGCAGGCGCTGACCGGCCACTCACACCTTCTCCGACTTCCTTGCGCCTCGCGCGGAGCGCGTGCGGCGCCCCGACCGGCCATTCATACACTCCCCAACTTCCTTGCATCTCCCGCGGTATGTGTGTGGCGCGGTGGGCGGCATGGGCGCCGATCACCCACTCAGGCCAGTCCCCGGGCTCCCTGCACTGGTGCACAGTGCAGGGGCGCGGCACGGTGTGGGCGGCACCCCGCCTCCCGC